GAGGTGAGACAAGTCTGGAGGTTTTGAAGAAAGAATTTCGAAAGGAGATTTACCTTGTAATAGTGGAGTGGGTGTACGGTTAATGAGATAAACAGCGGTGCGAACACATTCCCCCCAAAACTCAAGAGGTAAAGAAGCCTGAAACATTAAAGAACGAGCAACATTAAGGACGTGACGATGTTTACGCTCAACCCGACCATTTTGCTGTGGTGTATTGACACAAGAAGTTTGAACAAGCACTCCCTTACTCGTGTAGAATTCACGAAGAGGCCGGTTGAGGAACTCAGTGCCGTTGTCAGAACGAACAACTTTTATGATTTTATGAAACTGAGTGTGAATAAGAGAGAAAAATTGTTTCAAGCAACTAGTAACTTCACTTTTCTCAATAAGCAGAAAAATCCAAACAGCTCTAGAAAAATCATCCACAATAGTGAGGAAATAATGTGACCCAGTAGAAATACATGGAGAATATGGTCCCCATAAATCACAATGAATCAAATCAAACAATTGCTCAGCTTTATTAATACTGGGAGTAAAAGGAGAACGAGTCTATTTGGAAAAGAAACAAATATCGCAGGACTGAAAATTTTTAATTTCAGTAGTGCTCTTATTAAACGGGGGGAAAGATAAAACTTGAGGAGACGGATGACCAAGACGCTAATGCAACAGGGAGACGGATTCGGCTTTGAATGCCTGGGCATGGGATGGAAGGACATAAACTCCGTTGCGTGCTTCACATTGACCAATCCGCGTCTTCGTAGTGCGGTCCTGTATCACACAAAAATGATCATCAAAGAAAACATGATAGTTATGTGAGTTTACAAGGCAACTCACAGAGATCAAATTGCACTTCAAATTAGGAACATATAAAACATCGTGCAAGACAAGAGAAGAAGACACTTGCACACGACCACACGAGGTGGACACAACATGAGTTCCATCTGGCAAGCTAATAGTGCATGGAGATCGTGGTGCAACATCAGTCAAACATGATAATAAGCCGGTCATATGATGAGAAGCTCCACTATCCACCAACCATTCGCAAGGTACAGAGACAGACTTACCTTGGAGTTTATCAGAAGACGAAGGGGTGGAATCAAACATGGAAAAGAGGCATGCAATTCCAATTTGATCCGAAGACATGGCAACTGATAACAATATTCCAAGAGAGATAACAGCACCAGTGGAATGGAAAAATCTTCAAAAACTGCCACCAAGTGGACGAAGTAACCACGGCCAAGCAAAGAACGGAACTTTTCTTGTAAAGTAAAAGTCCAAGCACAAGTGGGTGGATCGTGCAGCAAAGTGTAACAAAAAAATAATTTCCAAGCACAAGTGGATTGTGCTTTTTCCTTTGCTGGAGAAGAAGCCACGATCAAAAACAAGCAAAACGGAGAAACGGCGCAGACGTGGGTATGCCGATCGTACGCCGGAGAGCAGAGACGCATGAAAGCCTAGGGTTTTGGCTCTGATACCATGTAGAATTTTAGCGTAAAACTGATCTGGCTTTTCATTAATCACAAACCGATATATATACAAGTACATAAATGGGCTAACAAGCACAGGCCCAATAACACAATATCTACGGTTAATTACAAATATCCGCTAACAATATTCTCTAAAAAATAATAAATATATCAATGATTTAGAATTTAAATCATAGCTATAACAACATACATTTTTAAGTTTTTAAAAAATAAAATAAATCCTTAAGAATATTTTATTTTTAACTATTAAATATTTAGAAAATTTAAACTAAAGTGTAACAAAAAACATTCTAACTAAGATGTTCT